GGATGATGACATCCCTGTAGACAGCAATTTGATTTTTATAGACCAACAGAGATCTGTGGGCCTGCAATTAGCTCTCTTTATCTAGCTCTTCTTACGTATGTTTTACTTGCTGCTTTCTTTATGTTCCTTCCATTAGCTCTAGCAAGTGAATTGCACATGTAATAGGTCCCACTGCAAACTGAAATATCTGGCACAGAATTGTGTTTAAAGAAAAAACCAACACACCTCTTCTCCTGCAGTGTTTTCTGAAGAAGTCAGTTTACAGACAGCAAAGCTGCTGTTTAGATGAACCCCGTGCTTTTTATCTGAAGATTATCCACCAGCCTTCCCACAGTCACAGAAAAACTCCACTTCCAGAAGACAGGAACATACAACCCTCACATTCAGATGACACGGCGCCTGTCTCCATGCCATCCCATTTGGCTGGTGTGCAATTCTGGGACAGCAGATGTAAAGGTGGGGTAAGCATTTCTTCCCTGTTCTTATGAGAAATAGATGAGTTTCTAGGTTTATTGCTGTTCTGTTCAAGTGTCCTTTTGAGTGTAACACTGTTTTGCTTGTTCCTTGAAACAAGATCTTTCATGCATAAAGCCAGATCCTTGTCCTTCACAATAAAAAACAACACACAAAGAAAATGGTTTAACATTACTTTATTTCAACTGCTTGGTTTATGCCCTTGACAGAGCAATGAACTATTAGAAATTTAGATAATGAAAGAACTGATACATGAAAGTGAGTTCGAAAGTGTACCATACACTAACCCATGCACTGTCTGTTTTGCTCCCTCAGTTTGACTGTGCTTTGTTTCTGCCCCTGGGATCCTGGCTATTTCTACTATATCTACATGGCTCTACTTAAGTCTTTAACTGCTTTTTCTCTTAAAAGGTCTGCTCTAAGGACTCTCTATTTTTGCTGATTGTACATGCTTTGCTTGTGCTTTTTTAGTGTACTATCTGTCCTGTTTCTTCTTCTTTTCTATCTCTTCTCATGTCTCTTCTCTTCTCTCTCTTCTCTTCTCTTCTCTTTTCTTTCTCTTCTCTTCTTCTCTTCTCTTCTTCTTCTCTTCTTCTTCTCTTTTCTTCTCTTCTTCTCTTCTCTTCTCTTCCTTCTCTTCCCTTCCTTCCTTCCTTCCCTTCCTTTCTCTTCCTTCCTTCTCTTCTCTTCCTTTCTTCTTCCTTCCCTTCCTTCCTTCTCTTCCCTTCCTTCCTTTCTTTCTCTTTTCCTTTCTCTTCCTTCCTTCCCTTCTTCTTCCTTCCCTTCTCTTCCTTCTCTTCTCTTCCCTTCTTCCTTTCCTTCCTTCTTTTTCTTTTCTTTTCTCTTCCTTTTCTCTACATTGTTTCCTAGGTGCCTTTTCTCCTCTCCTCCTTTTCCTGAAGACTTCCCATTACTCCTTTCATAGCTGCCCATGGTTACCATCCTTTCCTGTTTATTTCCATTCCCCTTCCTCAGGGATATGCAAAAGCAATGTAGTGCTACCATTTCCTTCCTTGTGGAAAAAAGTAAAAATCTTTATTTTAAACTATAAGCACATTTACTGCCTGCCTGCACCTCTCTTTATATCTTATCTATCTATATATTCTAGCCCGCCCTTCACCTGCTGTTCTTGTTCCTCAGACTCTGCCCTGCTTTGGCCCTTGGATGTGCCCCAGTAACCTCCTGCTACAGGGCAGAGAGTCCTGATGTAGGATGCCCTCCCATGGTGGGTAATTAGCTGAAGATGGCAGAGACCATGGCAGAGGAAAACCATAAAAGATGTTCCAGAAGAAGACTGAGGATTAACTCTGCAGCAGGGAGAGGTTTCTGTTTCTCCCCACTTCTGCTGAGGATATACCTCACTGGGCAGCAAGGTGCTGCTATATCTGCCCTGGATGAGGCACGCTGAGAACAGCTTTTCCCTGTGCATGGGTACAAAGTTGGACACTGCTGACTGACTCCTTAAGAACAGTCCACAGTAGCAGATCTGCAGATTTAGGTAAAATTTTAAAGAATGTTAAGTTTCTGCAGAAGAACATGAAATTTTTCAGCCAAAACTGTGCTCCTGCCTGGGCTGGAAGGACGATAATGAAGGCATCAAAAGCCTTTTATTTTAGGTCTTGGATACTGAACACAAATGCAAGACTAAAAGACTTGCTAAAAGAAGTCTTCTTCATCTGTTAAAAAACCTCTAGTATCCCTGGGTAGGCTACTGTAGGGTTTCCTCACTTCAAAATCTATTCATCCCCAGTTATCTAGATTAAATTTAATATTGCCTAAAAAATTCATTACCTTCCCTACAGAGGAAAAGCAATCTTCTGTGCCCTTTTGTGCATCAGATCGCCGCTACCATGTCCTCTTCCCCTACTTTTCCCTCTGACAAAACAAAAGCCAACCTTTGTAGTAGGACACATTTTTCTGACCAAGTTTTTTTGCCCTTGTTTTCCGATGGATTCTCTCCATGTTGTACCTTTTCTAACGTGCAGTGCCTAAAATTACAAGCCGTAGCTGAATCAAGGCTTCTCCAGCGTCAAATGGAGCAGAATTTACTCCCTTAATGGAAAACATGCCTGGAATGGAAGATGTACTTGTTTTAGATGCAACAACATCCCACTGTAGCCATCCACTCTGACTGAGCTGGGGTCACACCAGGGGCACCTACAGGCAGGACTGTGAATTCAGTAGAGCAACTTGTTCATTTAACTGGTAGAGATGGAAATGGGGAACGTTACAAAGGAAAAGGATTCTCATCTGCCCGACTCAGCAGTGTCAGCCTGGATGTGTCTGTTGGGTCACGGGGAAGGTGTGTGTAGAAGAGAAACATGGGAAAATTGGGCATGGCTAGTGGCTGCTGGGCAGGTTGGGGCATTTAATAGGTTAGGAGGGCATGGTGGCAACACGGTGCAAGTTCAGTGGGCATGGTGGTACTCAGTTGAAGGTTGGACTAGATGATCTTGGAGGTCTTTTCCAGCCTTAATTGAGAGTGACAATTCTCCATTGTTCATATTTGCCAATTTATGGTATCAGAATTATTTTATGATTTTAAGGGGGCATTTAATAAATGCAGACACTATAGGAAGGCTGAAACAGCTAGCAGAAATAGTTCTACTGTTTTCCTTCTCGGGAATAGTACAGGCCACAGCGAAAGGGAGTATTTTGCTAAACGCTCACTTCTTGCAGAAAAAAGAAATTAAATGCCTCCAGCGGGCTGGTTTGAAAATACGTGAAGAAAGCGGAAAGCGCTTCCTCAGCTACCGGAGGTGACACCCCGCGCCGGGACGCCTTTAAACACCTCCCTGAGAACCTCCCCGCCGGCGACAGGCCGGTGCCTCTCCGAGCAAACCCGGACGAGAACTCGGGTGACCCCTTCCAAGCAGCAGAGCTGCCGGGCGGGAACAAACCCAGCGCCTCCCGACCGGCGGCGGCAGGGATTCCGCCCACTGGGCGGGCGAGCACCTTCCGCGGGCTGCGAGCCGGCGCTCCCCGCAGGCTCTGGGTGAGCCCGGGGTGAGCCTGCCGGTGCCAGGGCGGTGGCGGGGCCGTGCCGTGTCGGTGCCGAGGCGGTGCCCGGGCGGTGCCCGGCGCTCCCCGCGGGCGCAGCTGTCACTGTCAGCGCGCCGGCGAACCGGGATCCCGGCCCCTCGCGCGGGGAATCCCCCAGCCTCGCCCCCGCAGCCAATCGCCGCGCCGCATGCAAATCGCGGCCGCGCCCGGAGCCAGTGGGAAGGCAGCGGGGCGGGGAGGCGGCGCCCCGTTGGCCGGCGCGGAGGGCGGCGAAGGCCAATGAGAAGGCGAGGCGGGCGGGGCGCGCCCCGGGGGCGGGGACATGCAAATTTGGTTTGAAAAGAGGGCGGGAAATCCGAGTTTCGCGGGAGGCCCTTGGCGCGTAACCCGTCTCCTTTCCCTTCATTCATTGTCAGCAGCCGCCGCTTCCTGGAGCCATTTTCCAGCCGGCCCCACACAGCGGGAGCGGCCCCGCTCCATCCGCCGCATCTGCCCGCCCCGCCGCCTCCGTCCCCCCCCGGCGCCCCGCATCCTGCAGCCGGGGCCCCCCCGGCACCCGCAGCCCCCAGTATTTTGCGCGGGGCCTCGGCATCGAGCAGGAAAGCAGCTGGGAAGGCCGGGGGGGGAGGAGGGACGGGGGGGAGGAGGAGACGCGGCTGCGGGGACAGACCCGGAGGGAAGGATGAGAAGGGGACTCCAGCCGCCGGCCCAGGCAGCAGCGCCGCCGCCCGCGCCGTCCACGGACTCCAGAGCAGCCCCCGCCGGCTTCCCGGCCCGCTTTGCCGCCGGCACCTTCATCCAGATCCGCAGCACCGGCGCGGCGGCGGGGGCGCCCTGTGTTGTCTCCTCCTCCGCCGCCGCCGCCGCTTCCCAGGCTCCCGGTGCCTTTGCCCCGGCGGCGGATGGGGGCCAGCCCGCTGGCAGCTCGCTGTACTGCACCCCCCACGGACCCGCCGGCAGGACGGCGCTGCTGCAGCCCGCTCTCGGCAGTGGCGGAGGCCGCCCCGCGGTAATTTTGTGTTTTCCCCCCGTCCCCGCGGGGAGGGTTAAGGGGACGGGGGGGGATCCCGCTGCCGGCCGGGCCCGGGGGCGGGCGGGGTGCGAGGGGAGGGCAGGAAAGGCGGAGGCAGCGCTTTGTTGCAATAAACTTTCCTGCCTCCTTCCCACCCCCCGCTGCCGGGTCTTATTGAAAAGGGAGAAAAAAAAAAAAAGAGGAGAGAGAGAGCGCGAGAGGAAAAAAAAAAAAAAAAAAGGGGGAAAATATAATAATCCCCGCCACGTCCCGCTGCACGGGTGCAAAGGAGCGAGCAGGCGGCGGCGGGGAAGGGCCCCTGTTCCCGCGGGGCGGGGGGCCGGGCCGTGCCGTGCCCCGCCGGTGTCTCCGCTCACCCCCGGAGCCGCCGGTGACGTCTGGCACACGTGCGCCGAGGCCGCGGCTGTGACTGGGAGCCGGGGCGGGCGGGGAGGGGGACGCCGCTTCCTCCTCCTCCTCCTCCTCCTCCTCCTCCCTCTGGCCTGGGACAGCCCGACCGCCGGCCGGCTGCCCCCGGCCCCCGCCGCGCTCCGAAATGCCCCTGCAGCAGGTCAGTTGACTCGTAGGGCGGCGGCGAGCACCGACCCCCCCCTCCTCCCCACCTTTAAAATTGACGCCCCCTCCTTAAAATTTATGCCTTCACCCCCCCCCAAAAAAAAAAAAATCCGCCTCTCCCACTCGTGGGGTTTTCTTTGTCCTCGCTGATTTCGGGTGTGCGCTTGGCCCTCGTGGGCTCCGCCGAGTTGGAGAGTGGGGGAGGGCGCGGGGCATCCCCGCCGGGCGGGGGTCGTAAACGTCGTGGGGGGCTCACCTGCCCCTCCCCCTCCGGCCTCTGCGACCCCCTCCCGGCGGCGTGTGATCGCTGAACTCCTTCCCATCTCTTCCCCTCCCGCGCCGGTGCGCCCCTGCCAGGGCAAAAGGGGTTTTAACACCCCTTCTCCCCCCCCTCCCCCCCTTTATCCATCCTTCTTTCTCTACCCTGTATCCAGTCGGTGATGGTCCAGGTATGGGATGGTGCTGTAATTCTGAAATACTTCTGGAAGAGCTTTGGGAGCAGCTGGGAAACCGGTGAGGAGGGCAGGAGCTGCCTCTTGCATGACTTTTTGCAGGTGTTGGTTGCTGAGCCAGTCATGGAAGTTTCAAGGCTCATCAAATCTCATCCAAAGCTTTTTTTATTATTATATTTTTATTTTTAAAATAAGCATCTTTGCGGTTAAAGATAATTGATTTTTTTTTTTTTTGTGCTCTTGGTCTTCGGAATATCCTAATAGCACTCACTGTCAAGCAGGCTGCTTCAGGCTACTTTGTAAATATTTGGCTGTCCTGTGCGAAGGTTGATTCCTAGAAGGTGGTGGTGAGCGAATTCAAAGAGGAGCATATGTTACACGATGATTCTAGGAGAATAATTGTACGGGCTTTTTTGGCTTTGTGGGAGGGACGCTGATGTCACAGGAACTCTTAAAGTTTCTCATTAATGGATGTGACAAGACCTTCGTGTATGGTTTTAGCAGTTTTATTTGTTAGTCTTTTTTTAATATACATACTGTTCACCTCTCTGAAGGGAGGAACTCCTGGCCATAAAAACCTAGGAAGGCTTCTTTCCACTTTAAAGATTTGGAAACTGGAAGGAGATTTAGGGCTCTGCCTGCAAAAAAGTCCTCATGAAAGTTGTGAGTTTGTCGTATGCCCTCAGGCCCTGTATGAACTTTTGGGAGATATGTGGGATGGGGGAGGAAGAGAGTGGTCAGGCCAGCGGTATCTACAGCCTCTGGCTGGCACCCTCCCAGGCCGATAAGACATCCATGGCACTCACCAGGAAAGGGTGCTCTGCCCTGACAGCCCTGCTCTCTTGTTGGGTGCCCCTCTTGGAGCTGTGCTGGTTTGCTGCAGACCCATCTTTTGGGAAGTCAGGCTGAAGCACCCTAGTATGCTGCCCTGTCTTCCTGTTCCATGCTTGCAAGGGAGATGATCCAGCCCTTTCACGGTTCTCTGATTTCCAGCTACTTTTCCTCAAAACTCATGGAGCATTTTCTGGGATTGGGAGGAGAGGGTATTTCCCCTTCGTTACTAGCAGATCATTTTTGAGAAACTGTTATTAAGGACTTGTGAGAGGAGCAAGAAAACAGTGGGTAGTTGAGGCAGCAATCTCAGGTGAGTAGCACCGATACAAATTTAGCTCTTAATTCGTTAAGTTGCAAGTAGTGGATGGGTCTGAGACCCCCAGCTGGAAACAAGGACCTGCTATGCAAAAGATGGTAGGGATAAGTCTAAATTTTGGCCAGCACACCTGCACTGGTTAGGGTTATGAAAACACTCTAGCCTTGCAGATGTAACTGTACTGGCAACCCACCCATTGCTTCTAAATATAAACCATGGTATTACTGGAAAATAGTCAGTACAGCAGTATAGGTTATTCAGAGAGGTGATTGACTATGTGAGCAAATGAAAAAGGTTCTTTGGCAAAAGTAAGCTGCTTCCGCCCTGGGAATTTGTTAGTTATTTCATCTGTGATTGTGTATGTGTAACTCTGCTGGAAAAGCCTTCAAAGATGGCCTAGTCCGTAACAGTAGGCATCTCCAGTCCTGCACTGATGAGACTGTGCACGTTCCTCCATTTCCCAAGCACATGACTGTCCAAAACCTGTTCCTTGCTCTGCTACTGTCTGTTGTGGCAACTCCTACAGCTGAGGGTCACTAACTGAGTTCTTGTACCCTGGTGAGCCTGGGCTCCAGGAGGCTGTGACCAGGTCTGCCCACCCTTTCAACTTGAGGAGCTTCTGCATGATTCCTGTGGAGTTAATAGAAAGTGTTACCAGGTATATCTGAACTCCTGCCATGGCTTAAACACAAGTGGTAATGAAGAGTTAACCCTTGCAGAACAAACCATCAGCTTGTGCTCCTGGGGAAAGCCCCAGCAGCCAGAGATGGGGTCAGTGCTGCTGCAAGGGGCAGGTGATCCTGCATCCTCCCCTACCCTCCTGCACCCTAATACAGGCTGGTGCCTCTTCCCTTCTGGTCTCTTGGGCTTCCCACGATGGAAAATTAACCCTGACCTACATAAATAAAGGTTTTCTGCTGGGCAAGCAGGTTGAACCAGCTAATGGCAGGTCTGGGAAGTGCCAGGGACCATCAAGAGAAAGTGGTGGCCACGGCTATGGCGCAGGAGTAGTGACATCGTGCCCTTTTGGTGTCAGTGAGTTTGTGAATCAACTTGCATACCCGTGAAAACTCAGGAGAAATTAATGTTTGATGAGGTACCCTGAAAGCAGTCTCGCTGGTGTTGCCTTCTCGCTTGGTGTGAGAAAGTCACTACCATTTGCAAATCCCAGTACTCAAAAATGGGGCTGCTATAAAAGCAAGCTGCTCAAAATGTTTCTAATTCAAATAGTGGAGAATTTCTTACTGTCTTTGGGTTATAAAGATAAGCCTTTAAGAAGAGGGCCATTTTCTTAGCCATGAGAAAATGCTTAAATGGAGACACCACCCACATGTTAAGTCCTTTTTAAAAGGGGCTAAATCCTCTTAACAACAATATCTTTAGAGAACTCCTGTGGCCTTTAGATGACATGAGCTGTGGAAAGGCTGGTTCGGCATACTTCAGAAGGGGGCAGGAGGATTTACATTTCCAAACTGAATACTTAGTACCTCTCTCATTTTTCTGCTGGTTTAGAAAGCACCTCTTCCTTCCTCCCTTCTTCTCAGCAAGTCACAGCGGGAAAGGGAGAAAAGTGGGGTAACCCACAATTTTTCTGCTAGGTATTACGTAAAGGAGCAAGCCAAATAGAACATAAATAATGAACAAGGATTTAAGGTATTGGAGAAGAACACTGTAAGTTACATAAAGGAAGCGGGCAGTTAATTTGGGAGCTTTTCTTTCTTTTGCAGGAATAAAAAGGTTCGTATGTGAAGACACAGGTGTTTTCATATTCAGACCCATTTTCATATTTCTTTACCTGGTAGTTTGTGTTACTAGAAATAAATGCTAGCAAGAGTCTGGGGCCTTTAGTTTTTGAGTAGCATTTAAGGGAATTTCTTTTGTTTAAATCCACCTCCTCCAGCAACAGGCTGCTTCTGAGCCCAAGGAGGTACCATGTGGTCCTTCGGCGCAGCTGTCTGAGGAGAATTCAAAGAGGTAAAAATCCTGATTGCCCTAACCATGCTGACAAACATCTTGTGGAAAGTGGGCATCCTAGTAAAACCCTACAGGAACAGCCTGTGGCTTACTGATGGTGGCTTCGCTATCCTCGCACAGGGTCCAGCTGTGCTGGTGTGGCTCCATCTGCACCAGAACTACTGAGTATGGTAGCCCTGTGATGATAAGGGCTTTTGGCAGGGTTTCATGAACAGCTGAGTCACTCAAAAGCTTTACTGTTGCTCGAAGTAGGTTTGCTTCTCTCTCGCCGTCTCCTCTGTTTCATTGCCTTTGCTGTGTCCTACGGCCAGGCCATGTTCTTCCCCTACTACTGTGCTTGGGGAGCACCTGGCTGTGCTGACAGGTTGGTTTTCTGCTGCTTTAACAAGGTAAAAAACAGCTGAATCTAAGCATTAGGTCTGGCATGCATCTTGGGCCCAGGATAAGGTGAGTGAGATGAGGAAAGGAGACAGGAGATTTCCAATGCACTGGTGTTGAGATGCTAAATTGGCTCACCAAGCCTTCATTTTCTGGTGTTGGTCTTATCCGTTCTCACTATGAATCTCTTTTCCTTGTGCCATCAGCCTGCTTACCAAAAAGCTAGATGGGGTCACTTTATGGCCAGTTTATTCTTCTGTGGAGGCTGCTTCACCTGGTTGAACAATTAAAGGCATTTTCTTTCCCCTCATTTTATCCCAGGTATGTTGGTGCTGCTCTGTTAACTTTTACAGAGTGCTCATCTGTATGTGCAAGCATTTAAAAGGAAAATAATCTTTAAACTTAGGAACAGCTGTATTTTGCAAGATGAAGGGTTCTCCCACTACTTCTCTGACTATGACTATGGCAAACGCTTCAGGAAGTAACACAAGAAAGGGGCTTGCACAGGACAGCGCTTGATTCAGGGGAGCACTTACTTGGTCAGGGGCTACAATGCGTTTTATAGCTACCAGTGGCCTGTGATTTTTGTCTAATCCCTGTTTGAATATAGCTGCAGTTATGACCTTACATAACAATAGGTTCTGTCCATGATTTAGGTATCTTGTATGAAAGGGAAAACCCAATTTTCTTTGTTTCTGCCTTTTTTTCCCTTTTCATTTTGAACTTACTGTTTCTCAAGTTCTTGGGTGATCCTAAATATCGGGGTAGGGAAAAATGATTTTCCTGATATGTTTCTCTGCACAGTTTATGATAAATTATCTTCTATCCTCAGATGTCTTCTCCAAGCTGAAGAGTGCTAGACCATTTAGCTTCTCTTGAAATGAAAGTCATCAATGTTGAAATAAAGGTGTCCTCTTATAAAGGAACCGCATGAATGTGAAAACAAGCATGTCTGTTAGTTGGCAGATTTTACTCGTGAAACTTTTGGGGACTGGCAGCTTTGAAGGATGTTTTGGACACACGGTAGACCCACTTTGCAGG